TGACCCCAGCCCATTGGACTTGCTTCTGCCGTCACACCAGCTATTTCCTGCTCTAACTCCACGGGCTAGTGGGGGTGCTGGCCGAGCTGGGGTGGACATACGGTGGCTCTCGTCAAGCAGGGCGTTCCAGGCGGGAGCCGCATGCGACAGACCCCTGGGGGCTGGGCGGGAGCCTGGGCTGCTGCTCTCCACTGCTGTGCCGCTGCGGCTACGCTAGGCTTTGTGTGGGAGAGGCAGGGTGAGTCTGGCCCGTGAGCTGTGCGCCAGGTGCGGACACGCCCGCTGACTCGCCGCAGGGAGGGAGGGAGGAGAGTTAGGCCCGCAGCCGCCTGCGTGTTGGATCCCACAATGCCCCTTCCTCTTGCAGGCTGTTTCAGCAAGGACCAGGTGTACCTGGACGGGATTCTCCGCATCCTGCGGCATCGGCAAACCATCGACTTCCGGCTGCTGGCAGCACTGGGCAAGGTAACAGCCTCGGGTGGCCGGAACCGGCTTCCTGACGCCAAAGCAGAGCGTGGGGATGAGCCCGGAGCCGGACGGGGTTCATGGGCAGTGCACATGGTGTTTTTACTGTCCCAGCCGGCGCCATTGGCCAGCGGCAACCCCGCCCCCTTCAATGGGCTGTCACCCGACAGGCCTGGTGGGCTCGCTTTCTTCAATACCAAAGGCATTCATTTTCAGTGTAGTTACAGTAGCCCTGAAGTATTACAGGTGCAGACAGCTCTCGGCCCTTCCAAGCCCTCAGCAGAGTCCCCACAAGCAGCCCTTCATGCACAGCTACCCGGAAGCGGTGTACTAGGTGCAGGGGCTTGTAGGAAACCTTGGCAGTTGCCAACGATGACGTCACGCCATTGAGGGCTATGGAAGGCATTCATTTTCAGTGTAGTTACAGTAGCCCTGAAGTATTACAGGTGCAGACAGCTCTCGGCCCTTCCAAGCCCTCAGCAGAGTCCCCACAAGCAGCCCTTCATGCACAGCTACCCGGAAGCGGTGTACTAGGTGCAGGGGCTTGTAGGAAACCTTGGCAGTTGCCAACGATGACGTCACGCCATTGAGGGCTATGGAGGCGGGGGCGCCGATCGCGCATTCCGCCTGGGGCGCCAGCTGCTGGCAGCTCACCTCGAGCCACTCCTGGAAATGAGGTTCATCATCCCTGTTTCCACCATATATTAAATTTCTGATTTGCCATCACATCATTGGGTTTACATTTTCCTTACTCTGAAAGGTAGGGGCAGAGAAACCCTCTTTTGTCCTCCCCGTACAGAGAGTTGAATTCCCAAGAGAGTCTCTTGAGCCAGTCACACGAGAGCATCGTACAAAGAGCACCGAGCGGGTGCTTGTGCGACAGCGAGGGGTTCCCGTGGCAGTATTAAATTTCTGATTTGCCATCACATCATTGGGTTTACATTTTCCTTACTCTGAAAGGTAGGGGCAGAGAAACCCTCTTTTGTCCTCCCCGTACAGAGAGTTGAATTCCCAAGAGAGTCTCTTGAGCCAGTCACACGAGAGCATCGTACAAAGAGCACCGAGCGGGTGCTTGTGCGACAGCGAGGGGTTCCCGTGGCAGCTTGCGCGTGTGGGACTTCCAGCGCGCAGGGCGGGTGGGATCCCTCGCCGTCCCTTCCAGCGCGCGGGGCGGGTGGGATCCCTCGCCGTCTCT